TGAAGTATAACCATATAAATCATATAAAATCATCAATCATATAAAATATAAAAGTAATTTATCTAATTATCTTCTCAATTATCTTTATATAATACATGATATAGATTTTAATGTATAAGTCAAAATGTTAGACCAATAATTGAGATTATTTTTTAAAGATATAACTATATATAATATAAAATAATTTTATATAAAAATGTATACAATAAAATAAATCAACATATATAAAATAAATTATGTCATTATCTTCTCAATTATCTTTATACAATATATGATATTGAAATAGCATGATTTATTATATCTAAAAATAAATAAAAATTTAACATTTAAAAAAATCATTATCACATTATTTAAAGAAACATTTATGTCTGTAGCACAGATGTCCAAGACAAGTTAGATGCCAAAATGCAATACTTTAAAATAAGAAGTTGGTTCATAAATCTGCCATAGAAACTCCTACTAATTATACACTTCGAAGACAAATCACTCTTCTAGTAGTGTGAGTGTATGTGTGTATAAGATCTCTAGAACTCTTTATCTACTTTCTGTTACCTGGCGGCGCAGAGGGATCTGTTTGGTCAGCTTATGCACTGCCGGCTGACTCCCGAAATCAGGCTTCTTAGCCGAAGTCCTCATTCGACAAACCACCACGATCACCACCATACAGGCGATGAGAAAGACACCTATGCAGTAGATGGCGATCTCCACATAGTCCGGAGGGTAGTCCGTCTCGATGGCGTCTGGCTCGGCTGTAGAGTAATGAAAAGAATCGAAAAGAATCGGACAAGAAGTGAGGCGAGTCATCCAGCCGAGGAATACTGCACCAGAAACCTTAATGTTGGACACAGCACAGTTTTAAGATGGTTAAGAAGGACATTAAGGTTTCAGATCAAGTGATAACAAAACAGAAGAGAAAAAGGTGAAGGTGACTAAAGAATTACAAGTTGAATCAACACACACACACACACACACACGACATAAAACTGTTCTCAAACTATTAAATGTTCTACAAACTACTTTCCTTCCAAGGCTGTTGCAATAAATAACTAATAAAGAGATTTTATTTAGATGCTGCTCTTCAGCTCAGGAAACTTTTCATTTAAGTATCAACTTAAGTAAGAACTATAAAATGATTTTGAAGAGCAGTTCAACATTTGGATTTCATATTAAAGGGTTAGTTCACCCAAAAATGAAAATTAGCCCATACATTACTCACCCTCAAGTCATCCTAGGTGTATATGACTTTCTTCTTTCAGCCGAATCCAGTCGGAGTTATATTAAAAATTGTCTTTGATCTTTCAAGCTGTTTCATGGCACTCAGCGGGTGTTTGATATTTCTGGTGTCTTCGAAGAAAAATCTGAGACTTAAATGGGTCATATAATGCGATTTCAAGTTTTCCTTTCTCTTTGGAGTGATAATTTGATCTCCATTTAATAACAGATAATAGATATTAAAGAGATCTCCTTGGTGATCTTTCTTTCCATCATAGCATATTTCCTGACACTCAATGGCCCCTGCAAACATACACACGCTCACAAAATGGTTTACATATAACCACAGTATTGAAGTACTTCCTGACATTTGAGGTCCTTCAGAAATACACACTTCATGGATACGATTGACACACAAACACACACACACTGACTTCCATCTGTCTGAGCGCAGACCAGTAAGTGGTGCCATTTGCGGTCAAAGATTTCATCTGTTTCCTTGTCAGGAAATGGACTCTTATTAAAATGCAGTGCGGTGCACGCTGTTGCATTATGCATGTTAGCGTGCACAGAGGACACTGTCTTGTGCATGATGACAGATAGCTTTTGTGTTCGTAAAACTATGCTGAATTCACTAATATTCATTTAAACCTGTCCAAATTAAAAAAAATAAATGTACTGAAATATCTAAATATAGTCCTAAATCACACACAAAAACACAGACAGGCACAGACACTGAGGTTGTGAAGTGACGCTAATAACTAAGAAAGTCCAGCATGTGAGAAGGTAAGCAAATCTTGAGACTTTCTTTAGAGAACACACACACACACAAACACAACAAAGCAGTTATTAGAGCTGAAATGGAAAAAGACTTTGAAACGTATAGGAATAGTTCACCCCAAAAATCAACATTTTATCATCATTAACACCCTCATGTCATTTTAAACCCGTCTGACTTTCTTTCATCAGTGAAACTGCTCTTTTTCGTACAACAGAACCATATGGTGACCAGCGTCAAGCTTCAAAATAAGGCAGTTCATATGACTCGTGCGATATATTCCAAGTCATATGATAGTATTGTGCAAAGAACAGACTACAGAACATATTCCCCATGTCTCTCATTCACAGTTTCATAAATTCTTTCATATAACTGGATGTTTTTTTCATTTGGTGTTCCACAGAAAAAAGTCGGTCATACTTTAAGCAACATGATGGTGAGTAAATAATGACAGAATTGTAATTTTAGACGAACTATTCCATCAAAACACATCTTTCCAAACATGCAACCAATAAAATGTTAGTTGGGAAGAGAAAATTGAAAATAACAGGGATCTCGAGACACTTGGGTGCAATTTTAGAGATTTCAGCCCAAAATATTATTTCATAATTCTTACATTTGATGAACAAATTCATTATGATGCTAAAAAATGTAAACGTTCAACAATAAAGAACCTAAAATTTTGGGTAAAATGAGTACCAAGGTTATTATTGTTATATATACAGTATATATATATATATATATATATATATATATATATTCACATATATACGATACAACTCTAAAGACCTAAAAATGACAAAAACATAACAAAATTACTAAAACATTAAATAAAATTAAACAGGAAATGTTATTCAAAATATTAACAATGCAGTTTGGAAAAATACATTTTTGGGCTGTAATTTCAGTCCGCTGAATTATTTTTCTTTGTGAAATTTTTCCAACTATCGTGATACTAAAATAACAGTCCCAAGTGCCTCTTGTTCCCTCTCAAAGACCATTGGTGCGATATCAACCAACGTGGCTTTGACATAAAGGAAGTGCAGAGGAAGCAGTAGAGAACGAGTGTATACCTGGAAGCACCGTCAACCAAGCAGTGTGATAGGAGATCCCAATAGAGTTACCCGCCAAGCACGTATACTCGCCCGCATCCTGGAAAGTTACATTAGGCAGGTAGAGCACCTCGATCTCTTTGTCCGTAGTGTTCACACCTGCCGTCTGAGAGAAACAAAGGAGAAGAGGAAGATGGAAGGGAGATACAAGAATGGATAGAAGAAAGAAAAGAAAAGAAACAAATCAGACCCATAATACCCATAAGAGAAAAGGAGATGTTCAATGTTGTATTTCTCATCTACGCATTACAGAGATGGTAGATGTTCCACTTCAGGAGAGAGGATCGTCAAATAGGAAGGGCAGGGGAAAAAAACGCCATAAACGCAGATCTAAATGAAGGCCAAAACCTTTGTACCAACACAGGTGAACCCACCAGATCCTCAAGGGTTCATGCAAACACAAGTGAAGATCATGGAAAACAAGCCGCTGCCTTTTCGCCAAGAAAGAACCGAAGAAAAGTGATAAATGAAAGAGGAAAAAGTAGGAGGGAAACTTGACACAGAACAGAACAGAAAGACAGTGGCAAGGACAGACCAAAGGCTTGTTTCCATGGCTGATTGGGCACCAGGAAAGATCCGCCAAAAAATAGAAAAACACCAGACCACACCACAACAGCTCAGCGAAAATCCCATGATCACCACGACGACAAAAAAACAACCCAAAACACCAGCAGAGGGGAAGGGGACGCTGAAGGCCTTGTTCTCGTTTTTTACCTGGTAGGACAGTGAGCCAACCGGACTGGCTGACCTGACCGATATAATTGGACACTTGGCACGTATATTCACCAGAGTCCTCTTCCGTGACGTTGGTGAGCACGAGCACTTCCACATCCGAGCTGTTTATGCCCGAGCGCTAGGGGGCGCCGTAACGAGGGACAAAAACACACATATGGGAGCCTGTTATAATCTCTTGTACTCTTTAGGAGAGCGGAAAAGGGAAGAATAAAGTGAATAAAGATTGCAAGAATAAACTGTTTTTGCATCTTCTCGTTCTTTCTAAAAGAAATCAGCTGCATCGAAACATTCCTGTTCCCCAAAACGAAAGTACAGAATATATGGAAAACGGAAGCCTATATAGCCTAATACCTTCAACACCCTGACGTACGGGAGCCCATCAGGACCGTAACGGCTGCCGTTCTTCATAATGTGCTGCAGCCACTGGATGTGAGGTTGAGCATCACTGTAAACTTTACAGACGAACTTAGCGTCCTCTCCGACTTGCACAGTGACGTTGGCCGGCAGGCCTGCCTGAAGAATGGGCCGGTGAGGAGAGCGTTCTGATAGAAAGGAAGAAGAATGAACATTATTATATTAATATTTACCAAGGACACTACCGTTTGGGTCGGTATGTTTTTTAAATGTTTTTGAATGGAGTTCTATGCTCACCAAGGCTGCATTTATTTGATCAAAAATACAGAAAAATCTAAAATATTATGAAATATTAGTGCAATTTAAAATAACTGTTTTCTATTTTAATATATTTTAAAATGCAATTTATTCCTGTGATGCAAAGCTGAATTTTCAGCATCTTTACTCCAGTTTTCAGTGTCACCTGATCCTTCAGGAATCACTCTAATATGTTGATTCGCTGCTCATTGCTTATTATTATCAATGTTGAAAACAGATTGTTTTGTGGAAACCAGCCCAATCTGCATGGTAAGACAGTGAAGCTATATGTGAGCATCACCTATAGCTTCAGTCCTGTTAGGCTGCTGTTAAGACTTCACAAAACAAAGACTGTTGCGTTAACTCTGCTGATAAGGACTGAACAAACACAGATGAAGAAAGGCAAAGTGGGGGAAAAAAATAATACAGATGTACAGTGTCCACCATATATCAGCTGCGGTTCCGGCAGCGTTGGCGTATCAGGAACCTTCTCGTTTCATTTCCTTTTTCCCCTTAAAAATGATCTTACAAAATAAGAATGCTGTGACTTTTGTTTTCCAAAAGCCACAATAATAAGCAAACTCGTTTTGAGTAGCTAATACACGTCAACTTTGTGAGTAGTTAAAGGGATAGTTCACCCAAAAATGAAAATTGTATGTTTATCTGCTTACCCCCAGGGCATCCAAGATGTAGGTGACTTTGTTTCTTCAGTAGAACACATATGTTACGTTAATGGGCGTGTTGATATCCAGCCGAAGAGCAATCAACCATAACTTCAGGCGAGCAGGCTCAGAAGTTGGGAATACGTGGAAAGTCACCACTCCCGAATGAGTTCGCGCGAGAGAACGTAATCTTTTAGTTTTAAGTCGGTTTGAACAATCCGGATAAGCGCAAGTAAGTACCATTTTGGTTAGCCGTTGTACCTACAATGACTGTGCACTGTGTAAACAATGAGTGACGTATATGGAAAATAATGTTTTTTTTTAACTTTAAACTGCATAAACACATTTCATTACACCAAATACACAAAATAATGTTCTTTTTAGCAGCATCATATGACCCCTTTAATGTTTTTATTTTAATTTTAGTTAAAGTTTTAGTAATTTGGTTGTGTCTTTGTAAGTTTTATTAGTTTTTGTTTTTAAAATATGCCTATATAGTTTTTTATTCATTTTTATTACAGTTTAGTTTTAGATATTTTGGTACTTCAAGTTACACTAGCTTGGCAAGAAAAGAAAAGAAAACTTGCATCAAGACTACTGCATCAAGTTTTCCAAAGAAAAAGAAGAAGAAAAAAAATAACAAACTAAACAGACTAAACCATATTGTAAACACACACCTCATTGTCTTAACACAACATTACTCTCACCCTGTAATTCTGACATATCTCCTGGTTACCCCGACATACACAGACACACAAGCATGATGTCACACAGGAGATGTGGAGAGGTCAACCTTCACAGACAAGCAGCGGAGGTTTGCAGGGGATGTAAGAGGATTTAGGACTGAGAGGCACAAGAGGGGGCACAAGAAAAGCTCAAAACAATGGTGCAAAGCAGAAAGAGAGAGCAAAAAAAGAGGGGTTGGGGTCAAGGGATGCAGAGGATAAAGGATGCCCAACAGATGGGCAGTGAAAAGAAAAGACAGACAGATGAGAAACAAAAAGGTACAGAGACAAACTTTGCTTTTTAGACACACAAAGATCTAAACCATACAAAATCAAAAAAAGTCAGGCAGAAAGTCTTCCTTTTGAGACGCTAGCAAGTGTTTCAGATTGATTGTGTTTAGGGTTGGCTATCGAGAACTGGTTCCAAATTTCCAAGACTGGTGGATTTGATACGACAAGCGATTTTGATTACGTTAACGATTCATGTGTGTGTATTTTATTTTGATTTTTAACAAAAAGCAGCCTCGTATAGTGTGTGAATACTGAATTGAGCTTTCTTTCACATCGTCTTGCGCTTGAACAGACAAATACACAGAATTACGTCCAAATATCCTTGTAAACACAGTCTGTTTTGTCTTAAGTGAACGCAAGCAGCATTTTAGACTGAAAATGCACGTGTAGCAGTTTAATGTCTTAAAGTGACAGCAGCCTAATATTCCTGTTGTCATTTGTGCCATTAATGTTAATCAAAGAGCAAAAGAAAATCACTCGCTGATCTTGACTGAATAACTTTATTAGGGATTAATCTATATTTCATTTAGAATAAGAAAACTATTCAGTGTTATTTTAAATTTGATTTCTATTTCTGTACCTGAACTTTGTTCCGTTGTATTTATTTGCACTGTTGCTAATTTGTTTATTTGTTCTTATTTTGTTACTGCTGACTTGTCTTTAATGAGGTTTGAAATATAGCCTATATTAGTTAGTCTAGTTGTTTTTGCTGTGGTATTTCTGGTAAAACAATAGGAGGAATCTCCTTGTGTAAGTGCTCTTCAGGCTGATGATTTTTGTTCATGGTATTCAGCTGCAGCAGAATGTTTTGCAAAAAAAAAAATGTTCGATATCTAAATGTTTACTTTTTTATACCTTATTGGAATCAAATCCGAGAATCATAGAGAATCATAATCACTAAGCAGAATCGCTAAAATACAAATGATTCCCAACCCTAATTGTGTCACATTATCGCTTAATATTGCTTACTCGGGCTTGCTAGCCACTACCCTTACCAAACAACTTTCCAAAAATCTGAAACCAAGTTGAAGGTCAGATCCTCTTCTAAAGAACCCATTGAGTCAAGCCAAGTGCCAGTCGCTCTCCCACATTCTCCACCAAATCAAAATCGATCAATTACATCATTAGCCAGGCATTCACAGGCTGATCTGGCATCCCGAAGCAAGACTGTTGAACTCTGGATAACCTGCTGACTTAGCATACGTTAGGGATGTAACGGTATGAAAATTTCATATCACGATTATAGTGACCAAAGTTATCACGATTATCAATATTATCACGGTTTTGTTCAAATTAGATGAAAACGTTCAAAAAGAACTGATACACACACTGAAAACATTTAAATAAGTTTTATATTTGAAAATCAACAAACAACAAATACAATTAGCAGCTATATGCACTTTTTTAGCATAAA